TACAACGACTCGACCTGGCAACATATAACGCACGCACCCTGAGGACTGACGAGAAGATTGTGGAGCTGGAAGAAGAGATAGACAAGTTACGCTGGCATATTATAGGATTATCCGAAGTCCGACGAGAGGGGGAGGACACGGTAATCCTCGAATCCGGCAACTTGCTCTATTACCGGGAGGGCGACCATCTGTCCCAAGGAGGTGTCGGATTTATCGTCCACAAGTCTCTCGTTAACAACGTTGTAAAGATTGAGAGTGTGTCGACGAGGGTTGCGTACCTTATACTCAGAATCACCAAACGGTATTCGCTGAAGGTCATACAGGTTTACGCACCAACCTCGGCACACCCCGATCAGGAGGTGGAGGAAATGTATGAAGATATCTCTAGAGTCATGCATTCCTCCAAAACCCAATATACGGTGTTAATGGGAGACTTCAATGCAAAACTAGGCACAAGAGAGAACGGTGAGCTGAAAGTGGGGAAATTTGGAATAGGGCAACGGAACCCAAGGGGCCAGCAGTTGGCTGATTTCATGGAGAAAGAGGGACTCTTTATGATGAACTCTTTCTTCCAGAAGCGGCCCCACAGGAAGTGGACCTGGTCGAGCCCCGACGGTTCGACAAAAAATCAGATTGACTTCATTATGACGACCAGACGACAACTGTTCAGTGATGTCTCAGTGATCGCGAGGGTGAAAACCGGCAGCGATCACCGAATGGTTAGAGGCACACTGAACCTAAACGTTAAGTTGGAGAGGTCTCGTCTAATGAAGTCAGTTTCTTTCAGCTCGAGTTGCAAAACCATTTTCAGTGCCTAGAAGACCGCAATGAAGTGGACGATTTGAATGACAAGCTCGTAGAAACTGTCCATGCGGTCGGAGCTAAGTTCTGCAAGACCCGCCGCAGAAGAACACAAAAACTCTCCGATCACACTCTTAATCTCATGGCTGTTAGACGGGAGATGAAGCTACATTCTTCAACAGATTTGACAGCATACAGGCAACTGAACAGACAGATCTCCAAATGCATGCGGCGGGACTTACGCAACTTCAATACAGCTCGTATTGAAGAAGCGATCGAGCGGAACCAAGGCTCCAAAGTCTTTGCCAGAGATCTGTCTGCCAGAAAGAGCCAACTGTCAAAGCTGAAGACCGAATGTGGCAGCATCGTTTCCGGGGCACCTGAGATTTTGAGTGAGATTGAGAGGTTCTATGGACAGCTGTACACGTCATCGTTGGAGCCACACGCAAGTGTGAGTAACGATCCAAGAGCGAGTCTTATCCGACATTATTCCGATGATATCCCGGACGTCAGTCTGAGCGAGATTAGAATGGCTCTCCAGCACCTTAAAAACGGCAAGGCCCCAGGCCAGGATGGAATTACAGCAGATCTTCTGAAAGCGGGTGGAAAACTGGTACTTGAAGTCCTTCAGAAGCTCTTTAATTCCGTACTCCATGGTGGCATTACACCGGAGGCGTGGAGCAGAAGTGCGGTGGTCTTGTTCTTCAAGAAAGGCGACAACGCTCTCTTGAAGAACTACAGACCGATTTCCCTTCTGAGCCGCGTCTACGTGCTGTTTTCGAGAGTCATTACGAATCGTCTCGCGCGCAGACTTGACGACTTCCAGCCTCCCGAACAAGCCGGTTTCCGAAAAGGCTTTAGCACTATAGACTACATACATACCCTTCGGCAAATCGTACAGAAGTCCGAGGAGTACAATTTGCCACTATGTCTGGCGTATGTGGACTATGAGAAAGCCTTTGATTACGTCGAAATTTGGGCGGTGCTGCAGTCCCTTCAGTGATGCCAAGTTGACTGTCGGTATATCGAAGAGCTGAAGTGCTTGTACAGTAGGGCTACGATGGCTATCCGAGTACAGAACCAGAGTACGAAACCTATCCAATTGCAGAGAGGTGTAAGACAGGGTGACGTCATATCCCCGAAACTCTTCACCGCTGCATTGGAAGACGTTTTCAAGCTTCTGGACTGGAAAGTATACGGTATTAACATCAATGACGAGTACATCACTCACCTTCGATTTACCGACGATATAGTCCTTATGGCAGAATCACTGGAGAACCTAAGCACTATGCTCAATGACCTCAATAGTGTTTCCCAACGGATAGGTCTTAAGATGAACATGGACAAAACAAAGATCATGTTTAATGTCCATGTCACACCTATGCCGGTAGTTGTTGGGAACACTAAGCTCGAAGTTGTTGACGAGTATGTTTACCTGGGACAAATAGTCCGACTAGGTAAGTCCAACTTCGACCGAGAGGTCAATCGACGGATTCAACTCGGTTGGGCAGCGTTCGGGAAATTACGGCACATCTTCTCGTCAGATATACCTCAAAACTTGAAAACGAGACTGTACACCCAGTGCGTGTTGCCAGTGATGACATACGGAACTGAGACGTGGTCCTTCACTACTGGCCGGATGAGGAAGCTCAAGGTCGCTCAGCGAGCTATGGAGAGGGCTATGCTCGGAGTTTCTCTGCGTGATAAACTCAGAAATGAGGATATCCGCTGTAGAACCAGAGTGACCGACATAGCCCATCGGATTAGTAAGCTGAAGTGGCAATGGGCCGGCCATATAGATCGAAGAACCGACAACCGATGGGGAAGAAAGGTTCTCGAGTGGCAGCCTCGTACCGGCAGGCGAAGTGTAGGGCGTCCCCCCACTAGATGGAGTGATGACCTGGTAAGATATGCAGGAAGTCGATGGATGCAGGTGGCTCAGGACCGTGCTTTGTGGCATTCTTTGGGGGAGGCCTATGTTCAGCAGTGGACTTGTGATGGGCTGTAATGATGAAATTGAGTTTCGTCAGTTCTCGTTTAGTGCTGTTTAATACGAAGGAAGGTTTCGTAAGGAGGGTAACTTTTATATATTCCGCATTTTTTATTCAAGGGGCATGCAAAAAGTAGTTTGTGGCTAGTTTACACATCTTATTATAAGCCTTCAAAGATAAGCCCACTCCAAAGAAATTTCGCGAATCACACAAAAACAAAAATAAATTGACACCTCGTTTTTCTGCAAGAAACAGGTCCTATTGCTACTGTGGTGGTAGAGGGTCAAAGAACGGTTAATTTTGACTCGTGTTATAACAGTTTGTACACCAAAACAATATCGGCTTGCTAAAAGCAAACAAATTTACGAATAGTCGGGCATATTTTTTCGCACCAACAATACAAAATATTCTATTTTTTAATAAAAAAAAATTGTGTTTCATCTTAATTATGTTGTGTAATAACACAATCAATGCGTTACGAGAAATGTTATGTTAACAGCGACTTATGATCTATGCAGTGGTTTGAAACCGTGCTGTTTCCCTCTCCATATGAGTGCGTTTTCATTTTAGTGCAGTTAGCCATTTGGCATTACAGATTCACGGGAATCAGTTTTTCCCTCTATACGACAAAGGATTTTCTCTGTTCTGATAGGAATAAAAAGGTCGATATTATATTGACGTGTTTTTGTACCTATTAAGGTTTTTTTTTAAATAGAATAAGGGTGACAAACGAGCACACAGTCCACCTGATCGTAAGTGGTTGCTGTGGCCTATAGACGTCTATAACTATCTTCGTCTGCGAATTAAAATTCAGATGCGTTGTCAGCCTTGAGGACTAAGATGGGATGCCCCTTTTTCAGTAAAAAGGGTCTCCGGTTCTCTACACTCACCATATGAAACACAGCAGCATTCAGCTACTATTTTACGCTGGTATTCTGTGAGAGCGTGGTCTTTCCCCGGTCGAGCCGACCCATTCGTGCTACAACTATACTATTAATATAGCTGCAGCATAGCTCTACCACGTATAAAAAGGTGCTTTTTGTGTAAAATGTACGGTTAACATATTTAATGTATAGCACAGAGTTACATTTTTCCCCTATGGTGCAGGGTGAGAACTATTTACCAGTATCAGCCGCATACTGCACCAGCGTACTTACTTGCTTTTTTTTTCCTTAAGAGTTATTCTATATATAAAAATCAATTACTGTTCGATAGCTCGCTTAAACTTAAAACTTATTCGGATTAAAATTTGTTTGTGTTTTAGTGCGTCCCTGGATAGTTTAAATTCACAATTAGATGCGGTAGGTGGCGCTGTAGTCAAGCTCCAGAAATAACCCGTGCAAAGCCCGGGCGCATCGCTAGTTTATGATAAAAATATGACCATGCGAAGTTCAAAGTTCGTAAAAATATTACAGCTCTTTGATGTGTCACATGATTCAAAATATTGTGATGTATTTAACCTTCGGCTTAATTTAAGAAAAATGTTAAGTGTCTTTAACATCACAGTCAACTTTAACCAGCCTGACTATAGAGTTATATTATTGATGCGGGTGATATTTCAGTTAAAAATTATGCATTTTTCCGAGCGACATTACCTTTACTAAGCATTGAACGAACATTTAGATCAGTTGTTTAGTATCGAATAAAGACAATGAAAAAATCTAGAAAAAAAATTTGTACCAATTATACCTGAATTAAAACCTGCAATTCAATTAATTAATTAATTTAACCAATAAGTATTTTGTGAATACAGCTTAGTATTGTTAGTTTATTTAGTATTTTTCGTTTTAGCTTAAATGGCTAAGAAAATTACAGATGTTTATGGTCTTTAGAATTATTTTAAAGCTAAAATTTGCACTCTTGTGTGCGTGTGAAGAACATTTCTAACATTATGTTTGATAAAATTAACAAAAAAAAATTGCTATATCGTTTAAAACAAGAAATAGAAAAGTTGTTTTAACTTTTTTCTATATACTACAACCATATGTTGTAAAATAAAAGGTATTAATATGTAAATTATTCAAGCATGAGCAAAAATTCACCTCAGGTGGGAAACCGGATTGGTTGGCAACAGACAAGTTGTCTCCTAGCACATTTAGGTACTTTATTTACAGGTTTCTAATTAACATCTTTCTTTTACATTTGGTATTAAATCAACTTTTTTTCTATATATAATTTATTACGAAGGCAAAATACGAAAATTCTTACCTTGATTAAACACTGGTTGTACATGTTTATAGCTGATGATAATTTCCTTGAAGTTCCATTGATAATTGGAATGTTTTCCACTGATTAGTACATAGCGGTACGAGTACGTCGTTCGTAGTACTGTGTAATGGCGGTGTAAGAATATCTACCACCCCATTACGTGTCGTGGGTGTCGTAATATGCGAGAGGGGGAAACTGAAACAAAAGATGGTCTACAGCATCTTCCTGATAAGAACTAAAAATAATAAAAACTGCGGATACAAACGTAGACTACAATAGATAGATGGATGAATGGAGCGAGAACCTAAGCATAGTTACTCTTCATCCAATAAACTGCAGGAATGGACTTGGGTGCATTTGCAGCGTGTGCATCCATGGTAATCGCACAAATTGCAATATGCTAGGAAATCAATCATTTGTATTATTTCTAAAATGTTATTTGAGTAATTTTAGTTAATTATGTTATTCCTGATTTAATTCGGTTAAACATAACTCTTACATTTTCTTTTTATAATGAATCGTTTTATAATAAAATAGAATGTAACATATTTATTTCTGCATCGTAAGAAATTGAAATCAATCATTTGCATTATTTCTAAAATGTTATTTAAGTAATTTTAGTTTATTATGTTATTCCTGATTTAATGCGGTTAAACATAACTCTTACATTTTCTTTTTATAATGAATCGTTTTATAATAATAATAAAATAGAATATAACACATTTATTTCTGCATCGTAGTAAGTTGAAATGTCGTTTTTCAAACGTCTGTCGTATACTTTTAACCCTATTTAAACGTATTACAGTATCAAAATAGTTTAAATATTTAATAAATATTATTAACATTCTGTTTTGTCCTATTTGTTTATATCACATTCTTAATTAGGTTATGATATATGGGATTTTGAATCTTTATAAATTTTTAGAATTTAGACGTTTTGCTTCGGCTAAGATTTGAATACGAAATCCGCAATTCAGAGGTCTGATATTTTGATGACTACGCAACAATTCTCACGTATGTTTAGAAATGTATTTTTGGTATGAATATATAAGGGATTATATCCAGTATTGAAGTTTCTTAAATCATTACATTTTTTTGTTCTTCTTTCACTAATGCAGTCAGCACATGAACATCTGCAACTAACTTCAATCAAAGAAGGCTAAAGAAGACTACAGATACGTTGTGACCTCTGAGGATTAAGATGTAATGTTTTCACAGCCTGTAATTTACTGGCCCTCATTAGCATTCAGACTAAACACAGCTGCGCAAGCACAGCTGCTTGGCAGCAAAAATAGCGTGGTACCTACCCTGAAGGACCTATCCTACCACGAAGTAATTAACTGTTGGCACGTGCTTTATATCGTATAAGTTGGATGTTCATGCATTCATAGCAGTATGTAAGGCATGTTATTTCGCATCACCGTCAAGAACCCGAATCCGTTTAATGCTTATAATATTACGTTTGTATCTCCAAACATACAAATAATTTACAAGTATATAGTGCAAAAAACTGTGGATAATTATCTACAAAAAGCGCAACAAATTGATAATTGTATCGTTTTATAATTTTCATTAACAACACTAACACTTAAATATCATAATCAATGTTATCAATAAAATAAATGTAAGTAATGAAAACGAACTTTTCTTATTTTAGAATCTTCATTCTTCATCTAGTACTTTGATTCTTATATTTTTTATATATTATTTAATATAAAGAATGTTTTATTAGTTTATCAGAGTAAGGGATAAGCGCTCGCCGTACATTTTACAGTAAGCGGGAAACCAAATTTTGATACTTGCTGTGCACCAATGAAATTGTTAATTGCAATTTTGGCTGTAACTACTGTAGCAGTTAAATTTCATTTCATGTGAAATTTTAAATAATAAAAATTCAAAAGCTTTTTCATATTTTATTTGATTTTAGAAATAACGTTTATTATTTAATTTGGTCTGTAACTATTCTTTTTTTTTATTTGTTATGGTAGTTAAAATTGATATCATATGAAATTTTAAATGAGAATGATGAAAAAGCTTTTTCATTTTTTATTTGGTTTTAGAAACAACGTTTATTATTTAATTTGGTGCTCTTTATATCTACATAATTTTATTACTTACTAGCGATCTACCCCGGCTTAGCACGGGTGATTTTAAATCTAAACCATCCAGAGACCCATTCAAACGCATACAAAAAATTTCTTCGAGATCATTCGAGCCGTTTTCGAGTTTTACCAAAACTAACGGACAGCAATTGATTTTTATAAGAGATGTAAATTAAATAAAACATTTAATTCTTTTAGAAACTACAGCATTATTCCATATAAAGTAATGGCCGTAAATTTGAGTAGCCTTTGCCACAAAAAAAAGGTTGATTATACATTTTTCGTTCCTTGTTTTTAGCCGCCTATAATTTCACTTAAAAAGCACTTCCGCTCCGACCAATATCTGTCAACATATTTCCACGTTTGGCTCAGACACATCACAAGAACTCGATTTCATTGACAACCGGCGGATGGAGCATAATGAGTTTTAAATTATTACGGCAGATAAAAAGTGGATGCGATGTTCCTTTTAACCTTTCTTTATTTCATAACTGAAGACACTGCACGATCCTCAGAAGTAAAATTCTTTTATAGGAAGAATATTTTTAAGCTCACGGCGTTAATATGAAATTTATAGAATTATTCAAGGTAATAATAGATTTTTGAGGTAAGGGTTGTTGCAGAGATAGCGTCTGTTGTGCGCGAGAGCTGGTGCGGCGATGTCGGCGGGCGGGCGGCGTCACTACGTCTCCATGGTAACGCAGCAGCGAGTACTTAAACGCTCGCTTCAAAGCCTCTCGTACATATTGCTAAAATCCGGAGAGCGCGCCGCACGCTGTGCAGCGGATCACCGGCAAATATCATAAGATTGACGTTTCGTAAATATAGGTGATCACTTTAGTTACGAATCTCAACTTTACTCGTGTATTTCAACTTCCATTTAAGTGTTGTGAATAGACTTTATAGTACAATTATAACAGAACAATGTTGCCTCTAGTGTTGTTTGTTTTGGGAGCTTTCCTCGCAGCAACAGAGAGCTGTGGCGCTGGCAAGCAATTGATAAGTAAGTTTATTTTAAATATTGCAAATAATAAACTATTGAAGTCTTTAATAAGATTTAATTGGCCACATTCGCTATTATTATTTATTTTAAAATCATTTATTTGTAAAAATAAAATTTTCTAAAATTATCAATCAATCAAATGTTTTTCGTCTATTATTTTTTAATTGAAGACGAAATTAAAAAAATAAACAATTACTAATAATAAATGATAGTAAATTGTTAGTCATATTCATAACTAAACGAAATATTAAAGTTGTTTTATTATTAAAGCATTGAACAATTTCACCGCCGCCACCCAGTCTAGATTTTGCAAATGAGTTTTGCCCAAAAATAGACGTAGCCTATTTGCATACCTGTCAGGAAACTACATCGTAAAATTTTATTGATTTGAAAACCTGTATAACACACACCAATAAATTATATGAATCCTACAGATTATGAAATCATAAGGATTATTATACTCTAGACCATTGATCTTGAAAAACGAACATTTATAATAAAAAGGAAACTACTGTTACGATAGTATTAGTGCACAAAGGAGATCTTAACTTTAAGAAATATAAATGTTTATGTTTTTCAGAATCCGGAGGTCTAACGCCGTATGAGAAGCAAGCAATCGTCGATGCGCACAATCGTCTCCGACAATCGGTGGCCTTAGGCCAGGTTTCCAGTCAACCTCCAGCAGCAAACATGATGGAAATGGTACGTAAAAAAGAAGAAACCGTCGCTTAATCTATTAAAAAGTTATTATCTCTTGATATTCTTTGTGTAACCGGTACGGGGCTACCACACTAGAACCTTTCTTCCTTTTTCGGTTTTTCCGTAGGGCGGCCTACCAATAGATGGAGTAACGACCTGGAGACAGATGGATGCATTTGGCATTCTTTGGGGAAGGCCTATATGGTTAGCAGTTGATTTGCGATGAGCTGCAATAATAATAAAGATGATGATTTTTTGTACTAAAACTTCTTCAAGATTTATTTTAAATTTCGTTTTTCGAGCGTAGGGCGGCCTTCAACTACTCGTAGATAGAGTAATGACCTGGTGAAATATGTATGCATTTGGCTAAGAGCCGTACTTTTTGGCATCCTTTAGAGTAGGTCTATGTTCAGCAGTTGACTTGCGATGTAAGTTGACCTGTAAAAATAAGGATAATGATGATACTTTTTTGTACTAAGAATTCTTCAAGATTTATTTTAAATCATCCTCATTAAAAGTTTTGAATACATTAATTTGTAGTCAAATAAATTAATTGTGTGATATCATCATGATATCATATACTTAATTCATTCATATAGTTAAGTCATCATAAACTTAAAGAAGAGTAATATTGACATAGTTACAACATACGGCATTCGCGCAGGCCTTGCTATCGCAAAGCTGTTATAATAATGTTTTTGAATGCTTAAACCAAGAAAATCTTTTTGCTAATATTATAGACTGTTCTGTAATTGAAATCAGGACCATCTAAACTATTTCATATGCGTGATTTATCAAAAACATAATGCAGATTAATAAATAATCATTATCATCATTACAGCCTTTCACAAGTTCAGTGCTAAGCATAGGCCTCCCCCAAGTAATACCACAAAGCAATATCCAAAGCTATCTGCATCCATTGACTTCCTGCATGTCTTACCGTGTCGTCACTCCATCTAGTGAAAATCCGTTCTACGCTTAGCTTGCCGGACCGACACTGCCTATCTTGAATCTTCGGTTATCAGTTCGTTAAGTCTTAAGGCCCATTGCCACTTCAGCTTGCTGATCTGTTGCTCTACGTCCGGTACTTCTATGTTTGGTTCTACTCCGGATATCATTGTTACTGACCCTGCTATCTCAGTGAACAGAGAACACGCACTGCTTGCAATAGATAAAAAGATAATAATTAAAATTTAATTTAATTTGTATGTAAAATTGATTTAGACACATAACCTTTATGTAATATATTATAATCGTTGGTGCGTCTGTTAGTGTCTGTAATACTTCTGAACACCTTGACCGTTTAAGGTCAAATTAACACATTAAATTTATTCGTTTTGACGAGACAAAGGTTTATTACAACCATGATACGATCCGATAGGTGGTTCCGATATCCGATAAAAGTTATTAGCAGGTATTTATGGACCAAAATAACACATGTTCACAATTTAGTGCCATAAAAGAAAGTCAAAAAATCTGGACCCGATAAAATGTAATTATATTTTTAAACTACACTAAAATCATTGCGTCATCTACCGGAGTAAGCAGAACAATGTTTAGCGGGCTAGCTAGTGTATTATGTTTTTTTGAGTATTTTTAAAATTTCGGATAGTGTCAGTGTAATTTACATAATGTATTGTATTAAATTTGTTTGAAGCAAGGAGATTAGTATTTGTGAGAGAATAATGACAAAATACATAAATTTTAAGTTTTTGTTAAAATTTTACATCTATTTCCACCTTTATTTGATAACATTATTTCAACAGGTGTGGGATGATGAGTTAGCAGCTACCGCTCAGCGTTGGGCCGACCAATGCACTCCCGCCCACGATCGAGCGTCACAACGTGATGTTCTTCGTTTTCCCGTTGGTCAGAATCTCGCAGCTACGTGGACTACTCGTCCCCCATCCGAACCAGCTGACACTCAGCCCGATTTTATGAAGCAAATTAACGCATGGTTCGATGAAGTGCGCATTTTTGGCTTCAGGCCTATTAGCGGTGGTCACGGCACAGGTCATTATTCTCAGGTAGGATTTTATATTCAACTGAAATGCAACTTTACTTGTGAAGTAATTTATTGGTTCTAACTATTTATTATATACTTAAAAATATATTATATATAGTTTATTTAAATAATATACTAATATAGCTTGCGAAATATTTGGAAAACCTTTAACAATATTTTAATTTTGTTTCAGCTGGTTTGGGGAGAGACATCTAAAGTAGGCTGTGGATTTACGTTCTATTACGATCGCGTTCGTGGCTATACCAAGCTTTACGTTTGCAATTATGGTCCAGGTGGTAACGTCATTGGGTCAAAACCGTATGAAAAGGGCTATCCTGCTTGCGGTACATTTGGACTTGCTGAATCGAAAAAATATTCCGGGCTTTGTTGTAAGTATCAATATTTTAAAATAAATTATAAGTTCATTTTGTTCAATTTACTCTAACAAGACCTCTAACTGTTCATTCTCTTTCCAGCTGCCAGTTACAGCGCCACATCTACTTACCAAACTGACAATACCAACAGCTACATCTCGAATGTCATTCCAGACAGCACTGGAGACAATCAAGCCTACAACTATCAATTTAGCAACCAGTATTACAATCAGTACAGCAATCAGTATCAGTTGCAGTACCCACAGCCTACTACGTTATTTCAACCGCAGACATCAACATTCAGGCCGCTCCTTAGCATTTTTAAAACAGCATCTAATTTATTTAATAAACCAAAGCCTCAAGTAAGCATTAGTACCGTGTTTATTTAAGTCTAATATTCTGTGATTAGACTCATTCATACATTTTATTATAGCAGTATTGTATTAATAGTGACAGTTGTGTTACTGGACTGATTATTCGAAACTGTTTCATGCAGTATTTCGGAACATTGTATTTATATTAATTCCTTGGTTTTACAAGGATATAAGGGTTATTTGCTATTGATAGTTTTTCATTAAACTAGAAATTGTTGTAGGTCTGATAGTTTAATGTGTACAAGGCGAAGCTGTCATGGGTGACCTTCTAGTATTAGCGAATTACATTGTTATTACACTATATAAAGATATTTTATTTAATAAATATTTTCTTATTAAGTAAACGTTTTTTTAATATCATAATTGATTCTTGCGAAACTACGGATTGAATAGCTTTATGTAGGCCTAGTTTAACTAAAACCAACTAGAATCATAAATTATGGAATGCGAAAAAATCAAAAAATTAAGCATTTTTATGTAGAATGGGGTGGCAAATGAGCGCACAGTCCATCTGATGGGAAATGGATTCTGTGGCCCTTAAACATGTACATTTATCTCCACCCTTGAGGACTACCATGGACTGCCTCGTTTCCAGTAAAAAGGGTCTCCGATTCTCTACACTCACCATACAAAAAAGATGCTATTTTACGCTGGTATTCTGTGAGAGCGTGGTTCTTTCTCGGTCAAGCCTCATTCTATTATCATCTTTCTAAGTTATAAGTTGGTGAAAATTACATTAAAAGATTCCGTTACATAGATGTTGAAAATAATTCTTAATATCGGGTCAATATTGACAAAGATTTAAGCGACCTCTCGTTTTGAAAATGGCCGAAAAGCCCGTGTTTGGTAAGCATGCACTGATACTTAGATACCGGTGGCCAGGTCCAGCCATTTTTTTTGCAGAATTTATTGCTGGTTCTATATAGCATCCCTAGTGTTATTTTAGAACAGCAACAAAATCTATGTAACTTGTCTTTAAAAAGCGAATTTTACAGTAGAAGCCAGGTCCTGCTGATGTTTTGTTTCCATATTATTGCTAGCTTTCTCAGCATATCTAATGTATAATATAAATCATGTCCTTGTGTTACGATAGCACGGCCACTCACAGTTATGTACCGTTCGCCAGATCCAACGAATTTTTGGATTTTTTTATTTTTATTACATAGCTTAGCAACAAATTTTGACCTATTAGATTACTCAATTATCATAGATTTTGATATATTACCGCTAGCTGTTGGTAAATGTAGCAGTAACTTGTTTTTTGTAAAACTTGTTTGGATCTTTTCAATTGGTTTATTAAATATAAAAAATAATAAACAAATTGACATGCAAATGTTAATGGTTCCCGATGTCTTATATTACCAGCTTAATAGAGCTATACATGCAGCAGTAGTCTAAGTAACTAACCAGCGTGTAATTACTCCCCGATCATTTTAAGCATTGGCTTATATTTACTCAAATTTCATTTTGCTTTACACGTATACTCTTAATTTTCTTCATCAACCTGTAAAAGTTCACTCATAGACCTTTCCTGTTGCAAAAGAAATCCGTTGCTTGAGAGGTTTCGCGCACACAGTACTAGATGTCATGCGACTTTGATGACGTCTGAGTATTCGCCACATGTAAAACGTGCAAAAACATGTAAAATATACATTCTTGAAATTTAAAGTTACAAGCCAGGACAAACATTTTACGAGTATGTACAGTCAGGATAAACATTTTATGTATGGTAATGATACGACTATGTACATATAAGTAATGTTGTTTGTATAATATTATATGTAAATATTTAGTATTGGTTATATGATCAACATACACTTAATCTGAAACGAAGCAACAACTTACGATGATCTTTTGGAATACAGAATAAATAGTGGACGAGCTAAAGCGTGGGTAAATATGATTGAGGAAAATAACATGCTAATTATTCGTCACACTTATATTGAAAGCGATAACTTGCTATTGTCTATTTTAATGTGTCGTAATTTTAGTTTACTAAAAGGAGAAGAAAACAAAAAAAAATATGCATACGCCGTCAAGCATTAAGCATGATCCTTAAGGAAAATGAACGCTACTGTGGCCTGAGTCCCTGATGGCTGAGTGGTAAACCACACGATACTATTACAAATTGCAGCGACACATTCAAGACTGTGTCACAACGAATTCTAGTGCGGCGTGATTGCGATGCGTCTGATTTGCAGCTGGTATTGCAATGTATGAATCGAGACTTCACAACACCTCCACTGTTTTCCAACCGTACCGCATTCGATATTCCAATATAGACTATCATTGGTTATAAAATATGTCTTAACGAAAATGTACTGTAGCCACAGGCGTCACTGGATTTGACACTAGAAACTAAGTTGATTGCTTCACCAACCACGGGGCATCGAATTTTAAATAAAAATGTATGTCCATAGCAATGATCAAGTACGATTACGAGAGCTCTAAGTATAAATATATTGTATTCGTGTCATTGATTGACTGTATTCAAACTGTTGTGCTGTACTGTACTCGTAACTGTTAAGATAGACATCCCATTTGTAAGTATTATGTTAGATACAAGTAAATTAAGAAGTTTTTATCTTAGTTCTAGTTTTCGCAGCGCACGCTGTTATATGAACAAGGGCTTCCTCCAAAGATTACCACAAGGCACGTTCTTATGCAAATTTCATCTGAGGTGATCGCTACCAAGCTATTTCTAATTTGTTTTGTGTGGTTGTGTACCATACGAGTACATGATTGTAAGCTGTTATTTAAAAAAAAGTCCCGCAGGGTTTCTTGCTGGTTCTTCCCAGGACAAAGGTTTTTTTTTTCGAACCAGTGGTAATTAAACGAAAGAGTAACTTACAATAAGTATTATTTATAATCTATATTGAATAAAAAAGGCTATATTGAATAAAAAAAGTGTCGTGGAACACTCGGTTGGAACGAGGTTCCTTTCGTAGTATATTACATACATACATACATAAACACTCACACCTGTCACCCAGAGGGGTAGGCAGAGACTACAGACTTCCATTTGGCGCGATCCTGACACACCTTTCTCGCCTCTTTTACATCCATATATCTACGCATACACGCTCGTCGGTTAAGGGTACTCCTAATCTGGCCCATTTTTAATGTATCGCCGATTTGGTCGATAAACCTTCGTCTAGGGCGTCCTTTCCCGACCCTGCCGTTCACTTCTGCAACATAAATTTGTTTTGTCACTCTTTCCTCGTTCATTCTTTCTACATGACCAAACCACCGAAGCATTCCTTTCTTAATTCTTGTCACAACGTCATCTTGCAAACCACACTTTTCTCTTATCACACTATTTCTCACCCTGTCATTCAGATTCAGCCCTAGCATACTCCTTAAGGACCGCATTTCTACAGCATTTATTCTATTCTCATGCTTCTTCTGCCAGAACCAACTTTCACTACCATACATTAAAGTAGGGACTAACACAGCATTATGAATTGCCATACGTGCCTTATTTGACACATTCTGACTCCTCATAATACCGTGTAGAGCCCCATTCACTCTATTTCCTGCGTTCACTCGTCGTTCTATATCCTTGTCATATCTACCATCCCTGCTAAATAAACATCCCAAATATACAAACTCATCCACTTGCTCAATCAACTCCCCTTCTATTCTTATTTCACATAACGATTTACTTTCTTCTCTTTCAAAAACCTTCACTTTCGTTTTACTTGCGTTCACTTAAATACCCTTTTCTTTCAATGACTAGTTCATTAAAGTAACCATCATTTGCAACTCGGCCGCCGACGATGTATCTATCATTACATACATTAGCGTAGTATATTATTATTGATAAACGTATTAGGTATATTATAGATTAACAAATACAAATAAATGAATTACTAGCGTCTATTAAAATGATATTTATTTCATGGCAAGATAATAAAAAGTGCGAGGGAATTGGAATTATTCCATCTCGCTAGCAGAAGGGGTCGTGACGAAAAAATCTTACATTTTTTCTCGCTTAGCCTCCATCTGCCAAACTCGTACCGTGCGATGTGGAACTTTGTTTCCAAAGTTTCTGTTTCTGTTTCTGCTTCATACACATAGCCACCGTATATCGGTTGTACTAGTCAAACTCCGACTTGCACAGAGATTGCCAACTTCAGACGATCTCTGAATATTTTTAGGAAAGGTTGGCACTACTTTGAGAGGGCGAGGCACATCCCAACCCGCTAGTGGTAAATGCAGTCACCTAAGTAACAATAAACATCACGGATAGTCTTCGAAGACCCCGTAACGTTTCAATTGAACCCCCAGTTACGCTAGACTCTGACGACGCAAATGTCGCCGACCCGTCACACACCAGCTGCAAAACCGCGAAGCCGAAAAGCAGTCATGAAGAAGTATGTTAGGTGTAACACTGAATGATAGGATGATAAATTATTTGATCTGAGAAACGTGTGGTATGCAAGATTTATTTTTACTATGATTAAAGAGTACTTTGGTGGTTTAAATACGTAGAAAGAATGATTGAGGTTAGTGACAAAGCAAATTTATACTGTAGAAGCGTGTGTCAGAGTCGGCAAGGGACGCCCTAGACAAAGTTTATCGACAAAATTAGCGATATATTGAAGAAAGCTCAAATTAATAGTATCTTTAATCGGTAAGTATGTATACGCAGGTATATGGAAGTGAAAGAAGGGAGAGAGATGTCAAGATCGTGTTAATTAGAAGTCCGTACTCCCAGACCACCCGTCGGGTAGCAGGCGTCAGGGGTTATGTATGTGTGTACGTCTTTATTTACGAATTATCATATTTTTACCTTACATACGTCTTCCTTGAATAATTAAAGAGAGTACAAAAAGAAATTTTAAAACAAGAATAAGCTCTACCACATAGGGTATTTGTATTATGGTGACAGCACGAAAGGGTTGACTATCGGGGAAGAACTACGCTCATGAAATAGTAGCATAAAACTGATGTGTTTCATATGGTTAATATAATTAATAAAATCAGGCGTTACTTTGCGGAAATCCATTATA